CCCCCCCCCCCCCCCCTGCTCCCCCCCCCCCCCCCCCCCCCCCCCCCCCCCCAACTGGGTTGCCTATCATCATGTATGGATCTGTTGTAGACTAATTGTGGAGAGATTGATTGCTGTGATTAGTCAACAAGTCTATGAATACATCTTGCAACTCCCAACATATAACTGGCAATCTAGTTGGATCTCAGTCTTTCTTTTTTTTTCCTTCCTTACTAGTTATTTTGTTGACTCATGTTGTAGCCTTATCTGGTTATTTTCATGCTTGTTCTTTTTGCATTTTACAGAGAGACCAAATGTATGCAGCCCAAGAAATGTTCAAGACTGCCAACAAGGTTACCCGACCAGAGAAGGCTCTTATACTTGGCTTTATGGCTGGGTCAAGAGGTATGTTGTAATATTTCATTCTCTTCTCACCACCTGCATCTGAGGTTGCAGGTTTCCCCTTGGATTTTATTGTTCAGTGTCAGCTGGCAATTAAAATACTGTTAGAAGTATAAGTGTGAAGTTATCCATTTTGGTCAGAGGAATCGAAAAGCAACTTATTATCTAAATGGAGAGAAACTTTAGTGTGCTTTGGTGCAGAGGAATCTGGGTATATTTGTACATGCATCACAAAACTAGTATGTAGGTAGAGCAGGTAATAAGAAAGAAAAATGAAATTTTGGCATTTGTTGCTACAGAAATAAAGTATAAAAGCAGGGGAGTGTTACTGCATCTGTACAAGTTATTACTCAGACTGCATCTGGAGTATTGTATCCAATTTTAATCCTCTTTCTTGAAGGATGTAATTGCATTGGAGCAGTTCAGAGAAAGTTTATTAGGTTGATTCCAGAAATGAGAGGTTTGTCTTATGAAGAGAGATTGAGCAGTTTAGGATGAGCGTCTCCTGGAGTTTAGATGAGGAAATCTAATTGAGATGTATAAGATGCTAAAGGGGATTAACAAAGTAGATTGAGACAGGATGTTTCCTCGTGAGGCAATCTGGAGTGGGAAGTCATCGCTTTAGGATAAGGTTAGCAGATTTTAAAGAGATTACTATTTTTAAAAAATTACTTCTCTCAAGGTGTCATGATTATTGGAATTCAATACCAAGAGTGTGTGGATGCCAAAACACTGAATAAATTTGAGAGAGTAAGAGATTTTTACTTAGTAACAGGTTGAAGGCTTATGGAGAGTGGGCATGTAAAGTGGTGTTGACGCCGGCCTGGTATCGGCCGAGTTGGACTACACGCCAGAGTTCTCAAGGAGATAGCTGAGGAGATTTTGGAGGTATTGGTGGTGGTCTTTAAGGAATCACTGGAGTCAGGGAGAGTCTCGGAGGACTAGAAAATGGTGAATGTAACACTTCTGTTTAAGAAGAGGGAAGCAGGAGACAGGAAATTATAGTACAGTTAGCCTGACCTCAGTCATTGATGGTCATTTTAGAGTCGATTATTAAGAATGAGATAGTGGCGTGCTTGGAAGCACATAGATCTGAGTCAGCATAACTTCATTGCAGGGAGGGTCATGCCTGACAAATCTGTTAGCATTCTTTGAGGAGGTAACAAGCAAGTTAGACAAAAGAGAGCCAGTGGATACAATCTATTTGGATTTCCACAAGGCTTCTGACGTGCTGCACAGGAGACTGCTCAATAAGGTAAAAGCCGATGGTCTTAGGGGCAAGTTACAGGCGTGAATAGAGGACTGACTGACTGCAGAAGGCAGACAGTGGGGATAAAGGGTTTTTTTTCCGAATGGCAGCCAGTGACGAGTGGAGTTATAGATTCAGAGTCCTACAGCACGAATTTAGGCCCTTTGGCCCAAACTGGTCCAAAAAAAGTTGCCCCTCAGGTTTCCATGTATTCTTTCCCCTTTTACCTTAAAATGATGCCCTCTAGTCCTTGATTCCCCCAACCCTGGGGAAAAGACTAAGTGCATTCACCCTTTCCATATCTGTTGTGATCTTATACACTTCTATAAGATCCTGCCTCAGTCTCCTACACTCTAAAGAAAAAAGTCCTAGCATGTCCAGCCTCTCCATCTCCCTTGAGCCCTGGCAACATCCTTGTAAATTTCTTCTGCACTCTTTTTCCAGTTTAATAACATCCTTCCTATAGCATGGTGATCAAAACTGAACACAGTACTTCAAATGCGGCCTCACCAACATCATGTACAACTGCAGCATAATTTCCCAACTTCTGTACTCAGTGCCCTGACTAAAGGCCAGTGTGCCAAAAGCTGCCTTCACTGCCCTGTCTACCCATGATTACACTTTCAGAGAACTGTGCTCCTGAACTCCAGGGTCCCTCTCTTCCACTACACACCTGAAGGCCCTATCATTCACTATGAAACTCCTACCTTTATTTAACTGTCCAAAAAGGAACACCTCGCACTTATTTATCATAAACTCCATTTGTCGTTTCTCGCCCCACTTCCTCAGCTGATCAAGATCCTGCTGCAATTTCTGATAACCCTCCTCACTGTTGACGATACCGCCTACTTTAGTGTCATCCGGAGACTTATTAACCATACCTTGTACATTCTCATCCAAATTATTGATGTAGATAACAGCAGCAATGGACCCAGCGTCAACCCCTGAGGCACACTGCTAGTCACAGGCCTCCAGTCCAACAAGCATCCTTCCACTATTACTCTTTGCTTCCTACCATCAAGCCAATTGTGTATCCAATCTGCCAGCTCCCCCTGGATTCCATGTGATCTAACCTTTCAGAGCAGCCTTCCATGTGGAACCTTATCAAAGGCCTTACTGAAATCCATATGGACTAAGTCTACTGCCCTGCCCTCATTAACCTTCCTGGTCACTTCATCAAAGAACACTAGCAAATTTGTGAAGCATGATCTCCCACACACAAAACTATGCTGACTACTCCTAATCAAACCCTGTCTTTCCAATTGCATGTATATCTTATCCCTTCGAATCTTCTGAAGTAACTTACTTACCACAGATGTTAGGCTTACCAGTCTATAATTCCCAGGTTTTTCTTTGCAGCTCTTCTTGAATAAGGGCACAACATTCATAGAATTTCATCAAATCCCTACAGTGTGGAAACAGGCCCTTCGGCCCAACAAGTCCACACTGATCCTCAGAGCATCCCCCTACAATCCACCTAATCTACACATCTGTGAACACTACGGGCAATTTAGCATGGCCAATCCACCTAACCTGCACATCTTTGGACAGTGGGAGAAAACCGTTGCACCTGGAGGAAACCCACGCAGACACACGGAGAATGCAAACTCTACACAGACAGTTGCTCAAGGTTGGAATCAAACCCAGGTCCCTGGCGCTGTGAGGCAACAGTGCTAAACTCTGAGCCACTGTGCCGCTACCCACCAGTCTTCCGGGATCTCACCCATGGCTAGTGATAATGTAAATCTATCAGCCAGGGCCCTTGCAAGTTCTTCCCTAGCCTCTTGCACGGTTCTTGGATATATCTGGTGAAGACTAGGAGATTTATCCACCTTCGTACATTCTGAAACTTCCAACACTTCCTGCACTGTGATATGGACTGTCCCGAAGATATCGCCACTAACTTCCCCAAGTTCCCAAGTGTTCGTAAAAACCTAAAGAACTGCGAATGCTGGAAATCAGGAACAAAAACAGAAGTTGCTGGAAAAGCTCAGCAGGTCTGGCAGCATCTGTGAAGAAAAAAAAATCAGAGTTAACGTTTCAGGTCAGGTGACCCTTCCGAAGAACAGTTCTGAGGAAGGATCACCGGATCTGAAACGTTAACTCTGATTTCTTTTTCCTTCTCGGATGCTGCCAGACCTGCTGAGTTTTTCCAGCAACAACTTCTGTTTTTGTCCCAAGCCTTCATGTCTTTTCTCCACAGTAAACAGAGAAGTATTCATTGACGACCTCGCCCATCTCCTATGCTTCCACTCATACATGTCCACTTTGGTCCTTGAGGGGTCCTATTCTCTCTCTAGTTATTCATTTTCCTTTAACATACTTAAAGAATCTCTGATTCACCTTAATCTTCTCAGCCAAAGTTATCTCATGCCCCCTTTTCGCCCTCCTGATTTCCTTCTTCAGTAAACTCCTGTATCCTCTTTCTACCTCCAGGGATTCCCTTGATCCCAGCTGCCTGCCCCTGACACAGGCCTCCTTTTTTTCTTGTCAAAGCCTCAATATCTCTTGTCATCCACAGTTCCCTACTCCTGCCAACCTTGCCCTTCACCCTCACAGGAACTTAGAGACCTTGAACTCTACCTATCACACTTTTAAAGGTCTCCCACTTGCCAGACAACAAACTACTCCAATCAACCCCTGCAACCTCCTGTCTAATTCCATCAAAATTCACCTTGCCCCAGTTTAGAACTTGAACCTGTGGACCAGTTTTGCCTTTTCCCATAACTATTTTAAAATGAATAAAACTATGGTCACTGGTCCCCCACTGTCACCTCTGTCATCTGTCCTGCCATATTTCTCAAGAGTAGGTCAAGTTTTGCCCTTCCCGAGTAGGGCCCACTATATACTGCTTAAGGAAACTTTCCTGAACAAGTTTAACAAATTCCACCCCATCTAAGCCCTTAACACTATGGCAGTCCCCAGTCTGTTGGAAAATTACAGTCCCCCACTATGACAACCCTATTGCTCCTGCAAGTCTCCCCAATCTCCCTGCATATTTTTCTTTATTCATTAAAGGGATGAGGGTGTCACTGGCTAGGCAGCATTTATTGCCCATCCCTAATTGCCTAGAGGACAGTTCAGAGTCAACCACATTGCTCTGGGTCTGGAGTCACATGTGGGCCCAGACCAGGCAAGGATGGCAGTTTCCTTCCCTGAAGGACATTAGCGACCAGATGGGATTTTCCAATAATTGACAATGGATTGATGGTCATCATTAGATTCTTAATTCCAGATATTTTTTATTGAATTCAAATTCCACCATCAGCCATGGCGGGATTCGAACCCAGGTCCTCAATGTTATTGGGGTCTCTGGATTAACAATCCAACAATAATACCACTACCTCTATTTCCCATTGACTATTTGGGGGCCTATAGTACAACCCCAGTAATGTCACCATCTCCTTATTATTTCTTTGCTTCACCCACAAAACCTCATTGGATGATCCCTCATCTCTGACTATTGCTGTGATATTCCCCTTAACCAAAAATGCAATTCCTCCTCCCCTGTTTCCTTCACCTCTGTCCCACCTAAAGCACCTGTACCCTGGCACATTAAGCTGCCAGTCTTGTCCTTCCCTTAGCCATGTTTCTGTAATGGCTATAATATCCCATTCCCATGTACCTATCCGTGCCCTGAGTTCATTGGCCTTACCTGTCAGCCCTCTTGCATTGAAATAGATGCAATTTAATCCAGCAGACATCCTCGCTCCCTGTCCTGTTCCACCTTGCTCCAACTCGCTATTTCTGAAAACAGTATCTCCTTCCAGCCTTGCAGTTGCGTCTGTGCTGTTGAGGATCCCACCTCCCAGCCAATCTAGTTTAAATCCTCCCTTGCAGCACTAGCAAATTTGCCTGCCAGGATATTGGTCCCCCTCCAGTTCAGGTGCAACCCGTCCCTCTTGAACAGGCCACCTCTGTCCCAGAAAAGATCCCAATGATCCAGGAATCTGAATCCCTGCCCCCTGCACCAATTCTTTAACCACGCATTCATCTGCCATATCTTCCTGTTCTTAACCTCGCTAGCACATGGCACTGGAAATAATCCAAAGATTACGACCTTCGAGGTCCTGGTTTTTAACTTTTTTCCTTGCTCTCTCTAATCCATTCCGCAAGACCTCATCCCTATTTCTACCTATGTCATTTGTGCCAATGCGCATAGTAACCTCTGGCTGCTCACCCTCCCCCCTGAGAACGTTCTGCAGCCACTCCAAGACATCCCGAACCCCGGCATCTGGGAAACATCACACCATCCTGGATTCTCGTTGGCAGCCACAAATCTCCTATTTGTCCCCCTGACTATCAAATCTCCTATCACTAAGGTCCTGTTTACCTTTACCCTTCACCGCTGTACCCCAGAGCCAGTCATAGTGCCACCAACCTGGCTACTATTGCTTTCCCCTGATCAGTCATTCCACCCACCACCCCCACCACCCCCCTCCTCAACAGTATCCAAAACGGTATTGTTTTCGAAGGGAATGGCCACAGGGGTTTCCTGCAGTCTCTGCCTACTCCCTTTGCCTTCCCTGGCGGTCACCCAGCTGCTCTCTGCCTGCACCTCAGGTGTGACCACCTCAGTGAAACTCCTATCTATGATGCACTCAGCATCTCGGATGATCCTGAGTGCATCCAGCTCCAGCTCCCTAACATGGTCTCCCAGGAGCTGCAGCTGGGTGCACTTCCCACATCCTGCAGGAGGAGCATACCACTGCCCTAACCACCATCTCAACTGCTCTAAGATTAAGAGGAAAGTTAAAAGGACTTTACCTGTACTTTTTACTGAGCTGCTGCTCACCGAAGCCTATAGTGCCAGTGCCTTACTTTTCACTCTGCTACCAACAAATTAGCATGTCTCTCTCTTTTTTTTGGTTAGAGGAAGAGGGAGGGAGGGAGGGAAATGCTACATTGATGTAATGTCTGGGTCTCAAGTAGTCTTTGATACCAGGCCCACAATGATCCACTCTTCAGTGGAGGTGACTGCTTCCAGGCTCTAATGTGTGTGCCAAAGTGATGCCTCTCCCTTGCTGTCACCCTCTGCTGGACTTCTGAGTTCCACAGGAGTCAGTGTTGGGACCACAACTATTCACATTATACATTGGATGGAAGAACCAAGCGCATTGTTGCTAAGTTTGCAGATGACACAAAGGTAGGTGGAGGGACAGGTAGTATTGAGGAGGCAGGGAGGCTGCAGAAGGACTTGGACTGGCTAGGAGAATGGGCAAAGAAGTGGCAGATGAGAAAGTGTGATGTTGTGCACTTAAGTAAGAACAGAGGCATAGGCTTCAGAAATTTGAAGCACAAAGGAGTCCTAGTTCAGGATTCTGTGAAAGTTAACATGCAGGTTCATTTGGCAATTAGGAAGGCAAATACAATGTTATTCATTTCAAAAGGGCTAGAATACAAGAGCAGAGATGGACTGCTAAGGCTGTATAAGGTTCTGGTCAAATTGCATTTGGAATGTTGAGCAGTTTCGGGTTCCATATCTAAGGAAGTATGTGCTGGTAATGGACGGGGGCCAGAGGAGGTTTACACGACTGATGAAGATCTTGTCAAATGAGGAGCAGTTGAGGACTCTATGTCTGTACTCTGTAGAGTTTAGAATGCTGGGGAGGGGTAGGGAATCTATTTGAAACTTAGAGAATACTGAGAGGCCTGGATAGAGTGGACATGGAGATGATGTTTCCACTGGTGGGAGAGTTAGGACCCTTTAGAACTCAGATGAGGAGGAATTTCTTCAGCCAGAGGATGATGAATCTGTGGAACTCATTGCCACCGCAGGCTGTGGAGTTCTAGTCAGAGTGTATTTAAGACAGAGATAGATTCTTGATTAGTAAGGGGATCAAGGGGTATGGTGGGAGGCGGGAGAATGGAAGTTGAGAAACATATCAGCCATGATTGAATGGCGGAATGGGCTGAATGGCCTAACGCTGCCCCTTCTGCCAACTCTCTGACCTCTATTAGTTCACCAATCCCTTCTCTCTATTGGTGAAAGCTCTCGGTGAAAGAATTGCAGATGCTGTAGTCGGAGTCGATACAGTGTAGAGCTGGAGAAACCCAGCAGGTCAGGCAGCTTCAGAGAAGCAGGAGAGATGACGTTTCAGGCCTAGACCCTTCATCAGGACAGGTTCTGACCTGCTGTGTTCCTCTGGCTCCACACTGTATCGACTCTAATTATGAAGGCTCCATTCCCATTTCTCTGCCCCTCAATATATGACCTGGAAGTGTATATTTATTTTTCTGTTTTTTTTTAACCCCCTTATGTGAGGGGGAATGGTGGTGAAATGATGTAGAATACTGAATGTATTTCTTGTTTCATATTGGAGGGAAGTAGTTAAAGATGTTAGAACTGACCCACAAAATGTGCAACATAAGTGCTATTTTTGAATACTTTTGAATCATTCACTGTGCAAAGCTGATTGTCATTTTATTCTTTCAGAAAACCCATGTCCGGAACAGGGTGATATCATTCAAATCAAACTGAGCGAACACACAGAGGTTCTACCGAAGGCAGATGGCACAGGCAGCACCACAATGCTGGTGGACACGGTCTTTGAAATGAACTATGCCACAGGCCAATGGACCAGACTGAAGAAGTACAAGCCTATCACAAATGTGTCCTGAGAGTTCACCAGGACCTCCAAACTCGTGGACCAAATCCAGTGTTATCTTGATTGCCACTGACCTGGGCTTCGATGATTGATTGTATTTATAGACAGTTCCAAAACATTTGCAGGGGACATCTATTTAACAGATTGTGATGCAGAATTTAGGGCTGCCAGAGAGTGGGATGAAATGAATAGAGAAGTGATTTCCTGCAATTGGTGTGTTTTTCTGTCTCCTGTGGTGTCAATGTCTTTTTAATGATGGTTCGTTCAGTCTCCAGCTACACTGACAACTTCAGCATGAAAACTCTTTGATTTGTGGAAAGCATGTGGACTCTAGTTACGGCTGAAAGGAGGACCGCATGACCACAACCTTGAGTTGGTTTGTCATTTCTGAAATACTAAGGGGAAATCATTTAGCAGCTTAGATTTGGTTCACTTTTAGTCGTGGGGTTTGAACTGGAGAGCATTGGAAAGCCAGATTTCCTGGTATCTGGTGCCTTCACTGAGTCACATAATCAGTTTTTGTAAAGTATTTGTTGCAGAGGCAGCATGATTTAACAACATTTTTCTATTTTTTTGTACAGTCGTAAAGATTCTAGGTTTCTTTCTTTCGCGTGCGCTCTCGTACAGTGTAAGATGTAAAATAATTAGATTTTCTATGGAAAATGAGTGCAGATTAAAGATTGCACAGCCATAATTGGTTTTCCTGTGTTTAGGCAGCTGGTTGAACTGTCAATGCTTAAGGGACGGCAGTGCTTTTACTGAACATACAGTACCAAGCACAATAAAATTACAATGTAACTGGAGTCACATTTGTTTTTGGTTCTTTTCATTAAGCACAAATGCAGTTATGATATGTTCAGAACTTCTCTCAAAGAAAGAGCACAGTTTCCAATGTTCATTGTCTGTTGCTCTGTGACAGCAGCAGCAGTAAAATTTGATCATCTGTTTTTCTTGTAAACACTGTTAAACATGTGTCTTAATTCAGTTGGTACTTTATGGATGAGGTTGCTTGAATTGCTGGTTGGTTATGCAGAGTGACATCAGCAGCATGGGATCAGTTCCTGCACTGGCTGAGGTTACCATGAAGGTCCTATCTCAACCTGTCCTTTCACCTAAGGTGTGGTGATCCTTGGGTTAAACCACCATCGATTGTCTCTAATGAGAGAGCAGCCCTATAGTCCTTTGGCATTATGGCAACTTTACCTGCCTTACTTTACCTACCTGCATGCCTTACTTTATGGAAGCTGTACAAAATGCTACAAATACTGGAGTTGTGAAGTAACTAAAATTAATTGTTGAATGTGATGAGGTATCACTGGATAGACTAGTGAAAGATTAATTGGAAGAAAAGCATTAAAGGATGGGAGGAAATCTACAAATGTAAAAACAGAAAACAAGAATTTCTACAGGTATCTAAAAATGAAAACTAAATAAAATGTGTTAGTTCTCTAGATGGTGAGAACAAGGAAGTAAAGGTTGATAATAAGAAAACAACAGATGAAATAAACAAATATTTTGCTTTTTTCTTCACTGTGGACGACAGGAAAGAAACATTTTTAGCAATAATGTAAATTGGGAAGTGGAAGGGAGAGAGGAACTTGGTGAAATTACAAGCATTAGGGAAGCAGTACTGAGAAAATTGATGGAACTGCAGGTTGACAGGACCTCCAGTTAGATGGACTTCATCTTAGAGTCCTAAAAAGTGGCTAATGAGGTAGCAAATGTGTTGGTGTTAGTTTTCCAAAATTCACTAGATTCTAGGAAGGTTCTATCACACAGGAAAGTAGCAAATATATCTCCTCTATTTAAGAAAGGAAGGAGGCAGGAAACCGGAATTTGTACTCCAAAGAACTTGCGTCTAGCTTATGCAAGTTGTAAGGATTGATGATTTAAGGGGGGTTATACCTGGGCACTTCGAACACCTCAAGATGATTGGGAAGAATCAAAACGGTTTTGTGGTGAAAAGAAATGTTTGACCAATTTGAGAGTTCTTTGAAGGAGTGACATGTGCTGTGGGTAAGGGGTGCCTCTAGACCTGCTGTACTTTGATTTCCAGAGGTCAAATTTATAGTTTGTATTAAGGCTAAATTTGCAGATGAGACAAAAATAGTGGGAATATGTGTGAAGAGATCATAATGTATCTACATCTGCCTGCAACTTCCTTGAGTGGGATAAATCTGGCAAATGTGGGAAAATGTGAAGTTCACCTTGGCAGAAAGAAAAGCAGAATATTGCTTGAATGGTGAATGGCTGTGTGACTCTGACTACTGTGTTCTGAGATAAGAAGGGATCTCGGTATCCCAGTACATGCAGTTAGTCACAAAAAGTTACTGTGGAAGTGCAGCAACTAATTAAGGAGACAATTGGGATGTAGCACTTCTGTTAAGGGAAAAAATATGGGAAAGATGTTATGCCTCTGTTGTATAGGACCATGGTGTGACATACTTGAATACTCTGGAATTTCAGTCTTATTTAAGGAATTGTAAATGCTTTTCAGGCTGTTCAGAGGAGGCTTACTAGATCAATGCCTGAAGTGAGTGGACAAGAGATAACAAGGTGTAGAGCTGGATGAACACAGCAGGCCAAGCAGCATCAGAGGAGCAGGAAGGCTGACGTTTCGGGCCTAGACCCTTCTTTAGAAAATGTTTCAGGACTCGCAGGGAGAAACGCTTCTGAAGGATCTCAATGTTCTGAATGTAGA